AAAAGAGTCAATTTGCTTTTATTGCCAAGAGAAGGGGCATTGGAGACGAAGTTGCCCTATTTACCTAAGAGATCTAAGAGATGGGAGAGTCAAAAGTATGACTACGCTTTAGGTAAGAATCCACTATCTAACTCCATTAAGTTCCTATTCATTGATTCTTAATACATGATGTGATAAGATTGCATTTGAATGTTTTGAAGGATCGGTGAAAAGAAAGGAAGCTTGATAAGAGAGCAAGATGAATCTAATCACAAGAGATGGATCTTGATCGCATGGACTTGAAGATTGGATTTTGAGCTTAGATAGTTATGATAGAGTTGTTAGAAATTTTCTTTTACATAGTTTTCAATAGATTTTGCATTGTAAGGACAAATGTTTTTCCGCTGCTTTTATAAATAAAATAAATTTTGACTACTTATTTATTTGTTTACTTCCTTGCAATGAAATCGTTATGAAAATTGATGTTTGCATATTTCTACAACGAATGGATATGATTCTTAGTTATGTTATTTATGGAAATGTCAAGAATTTACCAAATAGGGAGAGTTTCTCATCGCCCAAGTTTCAATTGGACAGAAACTTGGAATCATGCAACGTGGATGCACGATGAATGAGAAATTTCGTATTTGGAAATTAGACTAATTCATTGACAAAGTGTCAAGTGAAGGACTAGGAGATCGAGTACACAAAGTTGTGTGTTGATCAAGTTCACCATAAGAGTAACAAAGATATTCGTCATGATTTACTAAAGGCTTAGTAAATATGATTACACTTACAAGATTAAGTGTAATTTTGAATTGATTAAAGGGTTTAGATCAATAGCAAAACGAATAAGAAGAATCAAGTAGGCAGAAAGATAAGAGTTTCTCCATTCTAAGAAGAAGGGAGAGTAGCTTTTATGCTTTATGATAGATTAAGAACCATATCTCAATTGATCCTCTAAGTGAGTCTTGGTACAATTGTATGTCCAAGAAGAGGAATCAAAGATTGAAGAAATGGTCAAATCAAGAAGTCAATCATACTTCGTTCCAAAACAAGTCTTAAAGTCAAGATTGTGACATTGAGTGAATAGTATTAAGAAGGTTTATAACATTCATCAATTGTGGAAAGTTGTGATGTCTTGGATAAGACAAAGACCAACTAAGACCAATTTATGAAGTGTTTTGATAAAGCTACACTAACTCTTGAATATTTGTTTGTCAAGAAATGTTTATTGACAAAGAATCTTATATGTCAAGGAGTCAGTGGGAGTCTTAATGTCTTGAAAAGTTTCAAGAACAAATCAAATAAACCTTATCGATCATCACTAGCACACGAGTTGAGGTTTACAACCTATCGTGAAGACATTATTTTGTTTCTGTGCCAATCCAATCGAGTTAATTATGCATGTGAGTCCTATGAGTTCTCATTTGAATGCATAAAAGGCAAGGACCTTGATCAATGAAAGTACATTGATAGGAAAAGGTGATGCTTAACTACTTGGAAGACGTGGTGGGCAGCTGTGCTACCATAAGGCAAGAAATCAAGATTAAGAAAGTTCGATCCATATGAGTTTGAATTTGTCGTAAACTTTGGTTTTAACAAATTCACATGGATAGGAACACATACACCGTTTAAATCTAAGTGTCATAAGATTTCCTCCTTCATGAAAATGATTGTGAGAAAATGCTTTCACTAAGAAAGATTTTAAAAGATAGTGATTGTAAAATTGCATTCTCGAATTCGATCATGGTTACGGCATCCCTTTCCATAATTTGAATTGTGAGGTTTGGCAATTAGTCTTAATTGTTAAGACACACATATGAACTATCTAAGGCAAAAGTGTATAAGTTCAAGAAGCCTTGATAAAAGATTATCAAAGCACTAAGTATTAGAAACATGAACTTAAGAAATTCAATAAGTATTGTTTTTCTGAAAGTTAAGATGTTTATGAATACATGTCGAAGCTAGTGGGAGCATAAGTGTTATGTTTTATAATAATCATCATGATAGTGGGAGCATAAATGTTATGATTGTATGATTATTAAGGCACGTATTGCATAGTTGGCAATATTAATTATAGAAAACAAGAGTATACTTTGCAAAGTTGTAAGGTTGAAGTTGTTTTGCTATAATTAAGGGAGAGAATATTATGCTTCATTTCAAATCTAAAGGATTAGGTTGTGGAATGTTAATAAATTTAGTCAAAGGTACATAGTGTGTTCTTAAAATTTCGATTATGATTACGGCATTCCTCTTCACAATTCGAATTTTGAGAACATAGCAAATAAAACATTATGCGTCGTGTCCCATACGCTTCAGGTATAGGATCGATTGCAAATGCTTTAATGTTTGACCATTCTAATTTTCCAAATGTCTAGCATTTAGAGGGAAAAGGGACTAGAATTGGTTTTGACTAAAATAATTAAACAACTATCAAAGGACAATCCAAAGTTCGACGAGGATTGGTCGCTTGTGAGTAGTTGGAAGTATAGTATTGGAAATTATGGAAATGTTTCCATATTGGATGGACAATATCGACATAATTACGAATAGATAAGATTCTATTAAGAATGAGTTGTCATATGGAAATATGGAAGCGTGTCCATATTGGGAAGTAAATATTGAAAATCTATGTCTAGATTAGAAACTTTTATGCAAAAGGATGTTCAAAGGAATGTACTTTGAGAGAGAGACATCATATCTAAGGAATTGTCTTGTAACAATCTCCGATAGAGGACTTTGTAATATCATTGGCAATAGTCTTTGAGACTTTGGTGCAGTGACATTACAAAAGGATCGTTGCATAAAGTGTTAGAATCTAGTATATTCTATAAGTAACAAGAATTTGATATTCTTACACTTAAGAAAATGGATTTGGAGTTGTAAAATGAGAATGATTGGAAATGTGTTCAATTTGTCTATTTCACAAAAGTAAGAACCATAGGTAAACATTGTGTGCATGCTAGGAGCATGGGACAAGTGTTGGAATTCAAGTAAGAAGTTGATTACCCGAAACGACAAATAATGAGTAATCGATATGGTGATAAATAAAACGTGTTTTGTTTATACTCAAAGGTTTGAGGCCATATGGGATTAGTATTATTCTTGTGTTTCACCTTGCATGTTTTGACTTCCAGAATAATTGAGTTTATTAAGAATAATCGAATTATTCAAACGGGCCACAGTCGTTCATATGTTGGAAGTAGATATGAATGAAGACTGTCGTGAATTGGTGTGTGGATTGTCTAAAAGAGTATTAGACATAAGCAAATGTTTGCTGCAACGTTCATGAGTGCTTATGAATATGATTTGAGCATTGGATTAAACCCACGCTCACTTGGATCACTCCATGAATTGTATTACGAGTGATTAGTGAGACGATAACATCTTATATTCTTGAAACCGAGATGTGTGAGTTGTATCTTGCGAATCGGTTGCACATTGATAATATGTAAACGCACCAGTAACTTGGTGTTATAAAACATATTGTTGTGTGTAATTCGGTGAGTGAGTGCAAGCAAGCATTGTATCAAAGTTTATCCGTTCCTTTTATCCAAGGTAGGATAAAAGCGATATCTTTGGGCCCCTCGATGGTTTAGTGATGACATACGTAAATGCTCGGCCGGGCTAGGGCTAATTTGATTTGTTCAATTAGTCTGTCGTCATAAATCAGAAATCGAGATATAGTACAAAGAGAATGATTTGAAATCATATCTCATACGATATCTAGAATGGAGGAATATATGATCCCTTATCTAAGGACACGCGTATCTGATATGATCAGAGTTGACAGCGGCTTTGGAAAGCTACGATTGCAGATCAGGATCTGAAGTCATACGCAGAATAGTTGTTAGACTTATCCAAGTGGGAGACTGTTGGATTAGTGTCTAAGTCCATAACTATTTTGGTATGTACTTGACCCGATGGTGCATGGTCCTTTTGGGTTGCCTTCACCAAAGCAACTTGATAGGATGATTATGGAGAGTAAGGATTAAATATGATTTATTAATATATTATGGAATAATATATTAAAGGAGAAATCATATTGTTTAATTAATATTAGTCAATAATTAATTGGTAATTAGTTTTGTGACTAAAAGAGATTAATTAAACTTAAGGGACTGGAATTGTAATTATAGATATTGCAATTTGGGCCATGGATTGCCTTGTATTAAGGGATGGACGAATTCTAATGGGAAACCCATAAGTAAATCATCCATGGGCTTAATTAAAGGAGTCTATGGGTTGCTTAGGGGTTAAGCATCCAAATTAGGGTTTCCTTGTTAGATAACCCTAATAGCCCAACTATATAAAGACCCCTTAAGGCTCAAAAACGTGGCTAAGCTTATTGTAAGGGTTTACACACGTTTTTGGCAGCCTCCAACCTCTCTCCTCTTCATCCTCTTGCTTATGGTGTTTGTGAACCATTAGAGGAGTGACACTTGTGACTCTAAGCCTTCCAAAGTCAATGCAAGGAGATTTGTGATTGTTATTGCTACATAACAATCAAGGTAACATTATAAACTCATTCTTATGTTAATATGATTACTTTCATGCTAGAATTAGGGTTTATAGTCTTGGATTCAAAGCATGTACAATAGAGAAACCTAGATCCAAGCATTAGGGTTTGTATGAGCACATAGGATGTCTTATGACCAAAACCCATCAAATAGTTGTATCGAAGAAAAATCTTGAAAGTGATGATTCATCCTTGTAGTTCTCCATTTTATTTAAAAACGCAGCCTAACAATCAATTACTTTAGAATGCAAAAACATTCCTTGATTGAATTGATATGCAAAATCCTTGTGCAGCAAATGACCTGTTCTAATGTCCCAAATCTCATCCCTGTGACAAAAATTATATATAAAATCAATCTAAATACATTCAAATTTATATTCTAAAAATATAATAAGTGACTCATATATATACGAACCCATCATCTCTATTAGATGCAAAAACCGAATTGCATATCCCTGTTTCATCCTTAGTCAGTTTTTCCCCAACCTTAACAATTCTTTCAATATAGGGCGAATGAAATATTTTTGCCTTTTTGGGGATATGTTTTTCCCTTTTTTTCATTATCATCATCTTTTGCAGCATTATCAACAGATTCTCCTATATTTCTTCCAACCACATTATCCCCACTGATTCCTGACATTAGCTTTTTCCTTCTATACACCTGTAACTCAGTTTCATCCAACAACTTAATCGTTTCCTCATTCACCCCTGGAAGTTGATGAAACTGAGTCATTGTTAAAGAATTCGTATCAACAAGTTTACTATAATTGACTTCTTTTTCTACATTAACTTCAGTAAGTATCAATCCTCTAACAGATGAATTATTTCCTTCACCGCCATCACCTACATCATTCATATTTAGCTCATTACAACACTCAGGCTCATGCACTTTTTTGTTACTTGCCCCTTAATGCACTTCCTTGAAAAGCTCATTCATTTTCTCCATCCACTCATTCAGCACCACACTATCAAGGAATTTTTCCAAACCATCCTTCAACGCAACCTCCATAGTACTTTTCTCTGTTAGAATTACCCCATAATTATGCTTTATAACAGCAGCGTATGCCTGCAATATATATAATTAATTATTAATTACATTACAAGAATATTTCACCAACTTTAATATGATAAATATATAGACAAATTAGTAGTATTCCAGAATATGTAATTTATATTCTACCAGAATATACATTCAAATATTAATTACACTAATTACAAATTAAATAATTATCCAAAAAGAAACATAATATTACCTCCTCATCTCCAAAATCCCTCTTAAAGTTGAACATTTGTTGTTCTTCACCTCCTGTTTCATCCCTCATATCGACATCATCATGCTCATCCCAAAATTGCCTCCCGAACCCTCCCAAATTGATTTCCAAGCGTTGAATCTCTAATAAATTACCACCATTAATATGCCCAATAAAAGGAAGCCTTTTATCTAACTTGATAGAATACTTCATGTTATACACGTACACCAACTGAAAAAAAAAACATTAACTTAATCAATACATCAATAATAAATCAATACCAAATCTATATTTTCATATAACACTATTTCAAACTTACAATCAGGAGTGTAATAGGACCACTGTAGTAGTTTGATTTGTCATCCCTTTTCCATAGTTTTTTTCTTGATCCCAAACAATCCAGCATATATTTACACCAATTTAACTTTGAAAAGTCTTCTACCAACACCAACTTCCTTACCACTTTCATTTGATTTGTTCACATCAACATTGACTCTATGAAGTTGTTAACAAAAAGGGTCAAAAAATTAAGCCTAAACATCAAACTATCCTTTATTGTAGCTTGAATCCTTCTTAAATACTCCTCACTATTGAACTTATCACAACTATATTATCCCCTCCATTCTTCCAGAATTTGATGTCCCTTATCACACAATGGCAACTCATTGATGTCTTCTCCACCAATTGGCAACCCCATCATATCATGCATTGTTTGCTCTGTTATCTCAATAACAGAGTTCTGTAGGACAAGTCTTTTACTATCGGCATCATACACATCTAAAAGATAGTAGCTTAGTTGCCCCAGATAACTTGTAATATTCATTCGCAGAATTGATCCAAAACCCATTCTCAAGATTGCTTGTTTTTGTTCTGGCGACATCCCCATAACAGCTGCAGTGATCTTATCACATTTAATTCTGGTTGGAAGGTATCTTAAACCAGGTGGATATTCCTTATTTGTTTTTCTAACATTATCTTCTTGTTCCTCTTTGACAGATTCATCAATTCCCTTATTCTTTAAATTTTTTACAATTGGAACTCTATCATATTTCCTCTTCGACCTTATCTCTCTTTCCAAAAGTAGTTCATTCAAAGGTTTAGGACTTTTCTTTCGTTCAACTGATTTATCAAGATTTTTCTTTGACCTTCTTTCTCGTTTCACATGTTGTTCTTCTTCCTGTATTTGTTCTGCTATAACACACAATAAATATTATAATGTTTAGTATAAGATATTAGATATTAATGTTTTAAAATATAAGATATTCTTTATATTCTAACAGAATAAAATTTTATTTAAATAACACAATCATCATACACACAAAATTCTCATTCAAACATAATACAAAAAATGACATTACAAAATTATATTAAAATAACTACAATTCTAAAAGAACATAAAATAAACTAAAAAAAACATCATAAATTTCATTTTGAAACATAACCCACTGCGTATTGAAATACATATATTCATATATATAATCATATTCTACTAGAATATTCTACCAAAATTATATACATTTAAACTAGCATTCTACCAGAATCATCTACACCCTCTTTAAACTCTATCATATTATATTACATACAAATTAGAATTCTACCAGAATCATATACACTTAAATTCAAGACATATAATCCACTATCTATGTTGATATTCAAACTCATATACAACATTCTGTTCTTCTAGAATTTTACACATGTAAACTTAATCTATATCCAAGAATTCTGAATGTTTTAGTTTAAGTCATTAATCATCTACAAACTTTGATTCCATTAAAATATAAATTTTTTAACTAATAAAACAACAAAATTAATTCTAGGAGAATAACAACCACCTTCAGGTTCATGTGAAAACAACATTCGGGCAGAATAACATAGACAGTAATTTCATTGTATCGTATTATTATAATTTCAACGCATACTTTAATGAACAGTAATTATTCTTAAGAAACTACAAAAAAAGTGACACATTCTTCTTCCAAACCACAAATCATTCATGCATAAATGATTTTAAATACACTTCCTAAACTATAATACATTTTTTCGAACTGAATAACATCAAATACCACAAAAAAATTGTTACCTTCAGGTTCAACAACAAAATCATAATAGTCATCTTCAAGATTCAAGGTCATTTCTACTGTGTTCTTGAACTTTGACTTGAATGAATTGGATCGTGTACTCCTCATTGTTATAGAATACCGTTCACAGAAGCCCCCAAATGCCAATTACGTATTATAGGGTTAAGTGTCGATATTTATATGAAAAACCTTCAAAGGATCTTCCGATTTTAAAGATTGATTACAATAAATGAGAATGTTTTTCAACATCCAAAGGAATTGGGTTTTTGATTTTCTGAGTATGCGAGATATTTGGGATTATCGATTGATAACTTCCATAGTTATCCACCGTTTCCTAATTAAATGACGACGCAATGTACCATTCTACCCTTCTTTGACCAGTCAATTAACGAAAGCCTATTAATTTGATTTTTTTCTATTTAATTTAAAAAGAAATTCACTATCTTAATTTACCACAAATGATTGGCCTAGAATCCTTTACACAAGCATACAATACTTAGCAAAAACAAAATAATCTAACCCTATATATATATATATATATATATATATATATATATATATATATATATATATATATATATATATATATATATATATATATATATAAACCAATTCCGGCGGGTACCCAACAGGTAGCGGTTTCAAAAAAACGAGAACCAGAACCGGAACCACTTAAGGCGGTTCCATAACTTTAGGAACCGGAACCGCTTAAGGCGATTCCAGTTCCAAGACCGACAGTTCCGATGCGGTTTCGGTTCTAAAAACGGGTTCCTGGTTCTGATGCTCATCCTTAGTACGGGTTGTTTCAGTTCAGATGTTGAACTCAAGAAAAAACCATGGCTTAATAGAAGTATTGATCAAATCGAAGGATCTGCCATAATCAAAGGCAACTTTGGAGGAAGCTGTTGTGATACACACTTAGGGTGCGTTTAGTTGTGGAAAAATGGGCCGTTTTCCGGAAAATTTTTCCAAGAAAAATGAGAATTTTGAAAACGCGTTTAGTTCGTCTATTTTTCTAAATTTTTCACGGAAAATGAAAATTTTCCGTTTTCTAAAATTACAAAGAAGTTTGAAAATTTTGAAAAACTGATAATCATTGTTTTCCACATTTTTCTAATTCCAAATTTTTTTATAAACACACACCCACTCCACCCCATCCACCTTTACCTACCCCCCCCCCCCACACACACACACCCACCCGCACACACACACACCCACCCATCCGCACACACACACACACACCAACCCACAAACACACACACACACATACATACCCACTCACACATACACACACACCAACCCACACACACACCAACCAACACACACCCACCCACAAACACACACACATACATACATACCCACACACACACACACACACACACCCCAACCCACACACACACACACACTAACCCACACACATACACATACATACCCACCCACACACACCCACAAACACACACACACACACATACATACCCACCCACCCCTCCCCCCCCACACACACCAACCTCCCCCCCCCCACACACACACACATACCAACCCACAAACACATACATACATACCCACCCATACACACACACACACCAACCCACACACACACACACATACATACCCACCCACAAACACACACACACATACATACATACCCCCACAAACACACACTCGCACCCCCAACCACCCAACACCATCACGACAATCACCGACCTACCATCACCACCACCACCACCACTAACCCGTCACTAGCACCACCACCACCGTTGCCGCCTGCCATCACCACCACTGACACAATTGCCGCCGCCACCACCGTCGCCTGTCATCACCACCACCGCCGCCGACCCACTACCGTCACCGCCTCCACCTACACCTTACCACCGCTACCGTTTTTTAAAAATGAAAACCGATAGAAAAATACACATCTAAACACGTTTTCTAATTTTCTAAAACTGAAAATGAAAAATGAATAAGTTTAACTAAACACGTTTTCTAAATTTTTCAATGAAAAATGAAAACGGAAAACAAAAATCGAAAAGGGAAAACAAAAAACGAAAAATGAAAACTGTTTTTCCGTAACTAAACGCAACCTTAATTTCTTAGTTTCCACCTTGGGGACAAGGTGAATTTTCAAGGGCGGAGTATGATACGAATCAAGGGAGTTAGGGCAAGGTGTACCGAACACATAGGACCAATAGGTGATTGGTATTTTATTTAAATAAGTAATCTAGGTTTTGTGTTTTCTAGTTTCTTGGGGTTTAAGAGTTTCCACCTTAACTTTTTATTTATATAAGGGGTTTAGGGTCGGCTAGGTATTTTTTATGCATGAATTAAATTTTGTTTTTCTTGTGGATATCTCTATTAATCTCGAAACCTTCAAAACCCCATTGTTATTTTTCTTAAGCATTAAGTTAATCATATTTGAGGTTGTTATACAGTTAATATTAGAAAGTCCTGTTGATCCATGAAAAGTCAAGTTATACCAAAACTTGGCCCATGAATAGCCCACAACCTTGGTTGATCCAACGCAAAACATCATAGATATGTTTCCAAACATTTATTTATTACCTCGGTTTGCCTTGTGATTTAAATATTTCTTGCCAAAATTTATAATAACTAACGGATCTCCATCACTAACGATTGATTTGGGAATACCATGGAAACAAATCACTTCTTTTACGAATATATCAGCCACTGATCTTGCTGTGTATGGATGTTTTAATAGGATGAAGTGATTGTACTTTTATAATCTATCCACCACGACTAAAATAGCATCAAACCCTTTCAATTTGGTCCAGAGTGTTGATGCGATGCTGTAACATAAATTTGAGACTTTTCTGATTGGTATACACTATCAAGGGCTTCCATCATAACATTACAACCATGCCATACCCGAAATTAGATCCATATTTTATGTATCAAAAACTAGGGCTTCCATCATAAAATCGCAATTGCCAACCCTAATTTGCAAATTAAGGCACTGCTCTGTTACCCAAACCAAATGGCCATCACCTAATTTAATCTTTCATACCTGAAAAGGCTGAAGATGACAACCCAATGCGAGAACCAATTGACGGGATACAAAATTGTGTGTTGCTCCACAGTCGAACAACATAATCACGAGTATATCTCTAATTAGCATGTTACGTACAAGTAGCTGAAACAACTAATACGCATTCAACCTTACTAAACTTCGGTGTCGGCCTATTGAAGGAAATTAGTTATTATTCTTAAATTAAGGGCTATGAAAAAAAAAATTAAAAATACGAATATGTTTAGATGAAGTAAAAGAAAAAACAAAACCAATACATGAAGGTCTTCTTCTCTATATATAGGAACCTAAGGAACTACATGAACACGTACAGTTGATTTGAACAAGGAAAACTCTCTTGATCTTTGTGAACTGGCTTTTTGTGGGTGCATGCGTTATTCACACCTTTACATAGCACACCATTCCATCTCCTGACATTTGTATGTCGGATGTAAAACCAAACGACTGAAGGAGTCCTCTCGACCCATAAATACACAGACCTTTCAACAAAATAATGCTCTGTGGAAGATGACTTATGCATGTACCTTCTATATGTAACTCTTCTAGACATTCTAAAAGTCCAAGATCCTTGGGTAATGTCTCAAGCAAAGAACAATCAATAAGTTTGAGAGATTCCAAATGTTTCAACATACAAATGCTATCAGGAAGATGTTTAAGCATTGTATTTGACAAATCTAGACTCTTTATACATTCTAACCTGCCCAGATCCTCAGGTAACTTCTCAAACAACGAACATTTATCAAGTTTGAGATATTTCAGATCTTTCAACATGCAAATGCTACATGGAAGATGTTTGATCTTTGTAGATGACAAATTTAGATATTCCAAACATTCTAACTGACCAAGATCTTCTGGTAACTTATCAAGAAATGAACAACGATAAAGATCGAGAGTTTTCATATGTTTCAACATACAAATGCTATCCGGAAGATGTTTAATCATTGTATTTGACAAATCTAGACTCTCTAAACATTCTATTAGGCCAAGATCCTCAGGTAACTTCTCAAGCAACAAACATTTATCAAGTTTGAGATATTTCAGATGCTTCAACATACAAATGCTATCTGGAAGAAGTTTAATCTTTGTAGATGACAAATTTAGATATTCTAAACATCCTAACTGGCCAAGATCTTCAGGTAACTTCTCAAGCAACAGACAAGGATAAAGAACAAGATGTTTTAGATGTTTCAACATACAAATGCTATCGGGAAGATGCTTAATCTTGGTAGATGATAAATTTAGCATCTCTAAACATTCTAATCTGCCAAGATCCTCTGGTAACTTTTCAAGCAACAAACAATCATTAAGTGGGAGAAGTTCCAGATGTTTCAACATGCAAATGCTATCTGGAAGATGTTTAATCTTTGTAGATCTTAAAATAATCCTCTCTAAACATTCTAGTCCACCAAGATCCTCTGGTAACTTCTCAAACAATGAACATCTATGAAGCCCAATATATTTTAGATGTTTCAATGTACAAATGCTACATGGAAGATGTTTAATCATTGTACCCGACAATTCTAGATGCTGTAAACTTTCTAACAGGCCAAGATCCTCAGGTAACTTCTCAAGCAGTGAACATTCGTTAAGATCAAGATATTTCAGATTTTTTAACATACAAATACTATCTGGAAGATGTGTAATCTCTGTATATGACAAATTTAGCTTCTCTAGACATTGTAATCTCCCAAGATGCTCTGGTAACTTCTCAAGCAACGAACATCTATCAAGTTTGAGAAATTTCAGATGTTTCAACATACAAATGCTATCTGGAAGATGTTTAATCTCCGTATATGACAAACTTAGCTTCACTAAGCTTTCTAATAGGCCAAGATCCTCAGGTAACTTCTCAAGCAACAAACATCCATCAAGTTTGAGAGATTTAAGATGTTTCAACATGCAAATGCTATCTGAAAGTTCTATCAAAGCACAACATCTTTCAAGAGTCAATGTCTCGAGATTTGGTGTTAACCCAAGGTCAAGGGTCTTCAACTGTGAATTACTGAGGTCAAGGAACCTGAGCTTGTTACAAACCTAACAAAAGAAAAAAAAAAGAAGATGAATA